AGATGTTGCAAAAGAAGTATCTGCTGAAGCTTTTCGCTAGACACTAATCATAGCAGAATTGTCTGGAAAATGATCTATAGGAAACAGTACAGCGTATAAAATGAGTCAGATCAACGTAGGCCGGTAAATGAATCAGTGATTGGCATGTCCTTCAGCCAATCAGGAAATGTCACATTCTAACTGAAGGATGTGTAGATTGTACAGGAATTCTTTTTGACGGCAAAGGACAGGTTTATGTGTTTTAATGAAGGTTGCTTCCAAAATATAGAGATGAAAGGTCGACAGACCATTTGGAATAATTTCAAACATGCTATCCGTGTAGTTGTCAGGACAAGTCGGGTTCACTAGTAAATGTTGGCCAATCGCTGATTCACATTTAGGTGGTAGAACTTTTGTTTTACAGGAGCGACATGGTTAATTATTTTCTTTCACACTCTTATTTCTTATGGATGTGGGTACATATTGTTTAATTCTATCTTGCAATATTTGTGAAGTGCGACCTACGTACCGACATTCGCAGTGGCACGGGAATTCATAAATAGCCATACTTTTCTGTGTGGTAGGTATCGCTTCTTTGTGTGTTGCAGGCAACACCTTACGTGTGGAATAAGCACAGTAGTGGTTCACTGCATGAAAACATTTAGTAATGGCCGTTTTCAATTGTTTTTGAAATTTTGTTGAAATATTACCAATCCATGGTAGTTTTAGGTAAACAGGGCACTTTTTAGGACCAAATTTTGGATCAGTTGAGAATCTCGCAATTTTCTTTGAAGTAATTTGATTGATGACATTTTCAAGATACTCATTTTCTAGTAAAATAGTTTTAATTGTTTTTAATTCGAAATCTGGTTTGGATTTTGAACAGATAACTATAGTCCGATGGATTAAAGTAGCAATAAGGTTTTAAATACTTATATTGGGTTAAACAAAAATAATTCAGGAGTAGGCAATAACTTCTGTTCACTAACTGCATTTCTTATAAACTATCAATCTAAATAAGTGACAGTTACTTGCAGTTAACCCTTAGGTATCTTTCCACTATTATGTTATGTATTACAATTTCGAAAAGTTTGAAACTGAGCTAAATGATAATTTAAATTTATTAGGTAAATGAATGCCGATATACATCCAATTTATGATATTTGCCAACAAGATTGATACATACAGATTTTTTTCTGTTTTGTAGAAATATGTTTTAATATATATAAACAACAATATAATTTACAATAACAGTTATTACTACTCCGTTCCCAAAAACATTGAAGAAAGTAAGAGTGACTTGAGTTGTAGATCCTGTTTGAACTTCTGTTGGAATCGTCAACAAATAGCCCCTACAAAACATATTTTTATTTAAAAAAACATAAATAACTAATTCCAAAATAATATTTGCGAGATTCCTAGATCATAAAAGCAATTATTTGTTTGTAGTTAAGCACAAAGCAACCCAAAAGGATATTTGTGCTCTGTCCACCACGGCTATCGAAACATGGTTTCTAGCGTTGTAAGTCTGCAGACATACCGCTGTGCCACTGGTCATCAAAACAACCCAAAACATTTTAGATAATCTCAATTTAGATGTGAGAAATAAAATTTGAAAGTTTTATGGTTTT